TGCCCTCCGCTCCAGCCTGATCATGACTAAGAAGCCCATTGACTAGCACCATGCTTGCTTGCTGTCCTCCTTTGAGACTTGGCAGCCTGTCCTCTCTGCAAACAGGGGAAACAGGATGGAACCTTCTAAAGTCCTTTTCTCCTAGGAGCAACAGCAGCTGTCAAGACTCACACCCAGAGCCCAGGGTGCATTTGTTTCTCTGCGGTGAAAAGGACAGCAAAGCGGTGTTAGGCAATGGGTTGCTTGAGGACACCATGATGCAAAGAAAGGCTGGCAGGGGTAGGCAACCCTTCCCCTTTAAGAGCCGAGGGACTTCAGCTCCCAGAAGCCTCAGCCATGTTGGCCAATAGTCCCATGTTGGCCAATAGCTCCTGGGATTCTGGGAGCTGAAGTCCCTCGGCCCTTAAAGGGGAAAGGTTGCCTACCTCTGGCTGAAAGGGTTTCCCACTTCATTTCAGCCCAATGGACCAATGAAAGGAATAATTTGAATGCAGATTCAGCCAAGTTTTTCCTGCTGGTAAGGTACCATTCCAAGCATTTGTCTTGCTCCCTGTTCTGTAAGTATTTTGCAAGGCAACAAGGCACTTTAATGAAGGTTAAAAAATAGGGCAGAGTACATAATAAAATGCAGTATACGTGACACAGCTGTAAATAAGCCCTACGAAATGGATTTATATTTCTATGGCTGCATCCACACTGAAGATATAACCTAGTTTGGCACCACTTTAACTGCTCTTCAAGGCTCAAGGCTATGGAATTCTGGGAATTGGAGTTTGCTCTGCTCTGGGCCCCACAACAAACTCCAATTCCCAGAATTCCATAGCCTTGAGGCAGGGGCAGTTAAAGCGGTGTAGATGCAGCCTATAGGTGTTTTTAGTTTTTATTTGGCCCTAGTGTCAGTCTCTGCAAAGGCCCACTGCTCCAGAATCCAGGAAAAGTTCACAGCCCACATTTATGATGTAATAATAATAATAATAATAATAATAATAATAATAATAATAATAATAATATGAACTTTTCTGGGCTGTGAGGCTGAGCAGACACACATTCTTCCAGGGCAATCTTTGGAAAAGTTACTTTTATGGGGGCCACAGCACCCAGAATCCCCAGCACACTTCTCCAGAAGGCAAAGGAGTTGTTTCTGAGGAGTACAACTCCCAGAATCCCCAGCATACTGCTCCAGAGCGTGGAGGAGTGACTTCTGTGGGGGCCACAAATCCAGCTGGGGATTCTGGGAGTGGTAAAAAAACAACCTCCCCGCTAAAAGTAACTTCTCCAAGGCCTGAGGAACTGGACAGAGAAGGATGAGTGAAAAAGGGCTCCGGGGGTCTCTCAGCGCATGCGCAAGGAAAAAGGGGGTCTCTCTTTCTTCCTCCCTCTTTCCTATTGGCTGAGGCCGGAGCGCGCCCCCCGCCCCATTGGCCCTCTGAGAGGAAGGGGGAGCGGGAGAGTTGCGCGCGCAGCAAGGGCGCCCAGGCTCTCCCCTCCCGGCCCCCTCCCCCTCCCCCTCCCGTGGGGCCTTGTCCGAGGAAGGCTGCCCCTGGCGCTGCCTGAGCCCCCGCTCGCCCTCCTCCGCCGCCGCCGCCATCTTGCTCAAGGACCCCTCGCCCTCCGCCGCCGAGGAGCCGGGAGAAGCTCCCTCCGCAGCGCACTCTCCTCACCAGGCGCGGACCCCCGCCGGGCGGCTCCCTCCTGCTCCTCGGCTGCTCTCGTCTTCCGATCCGGCACCCGCGCGGCCGCCATCGCCTCTTTCCTCGGCCGGCGGAGGGATCCCGCAGTGGGACCCCGCCGCCTCAGGGGCCTTCCGCCGGAACTACTTCTTCCGGGAGAACGTCCGTCCGGCAGAGGAAGCTCTGAGGGAGGCTCCGCTCTTTTCCTTCTTGGCTTCTCGGTTGCCGTCGCGGCGTCTTCAGCAGATGGGCGCCGTAGCCCCGGCCCTTCTCCCCAGGGATTACTTTTACCGCGGAGGGACACGTACGTCGCCTCAGCTTCGTTATAATGGTGTCACGTGACGGCTCCGGAGTCACGTGCGAAGGCCGGAAGGCGCAGCGTTCAAAGCAGTGGTCCTCCTTGTCCTGCTCCGGAGTAAGCTCTTTCTTCTTAACGTTCCTTCTGGTCCTTCTCCTGCAAGAACCTCCTTTGCTCCTCCTCTTGGAAAAGGTGGTCGACTCCGTCGGGCTGGTTTT